AATTCTGTGGCCACAAGAATTTAGCTTTCCTGCTCTATAAACAAATACCCTTTTAGGTATGTTTAGTTCTGTAAAGCGTGTAGCTTGATCGACATTTCATTGACTCGTATTATGAGCAGACAGTAAATCAGTCAGAAATGACCATAATTGCATTTAATATATATGGCATTTACAACGTTACATGATACAGGTATTTACAAACATTAAAACACAAACTAAGACGACGCAGGGCGTTTAGACAATGGATACGCGTAAGTGAGTTGGAGGGAGAGAGAGAGAGAGTGTGAGTGAGATTGAGTTGGAGAGAAAGGGAGAGTTACATTCACCAAAACAGTCAGTTAACCTTTCTGAACACCAAGGAAACACAAGAAGGTATACTTGCAGAGCATATTTGGTCTGTGTGAGTCGTGGGCTCGTTGCTCGGCCCGTTCGAGCCGCTTGATGACTGGAGGTGCTGTCCGGCGTGGGCGCGTCACGTGGAGCGTTTTTGCACGGCCTGTCCCGGCGCGTGCATAGTTGGTTGCTTGCGCATGGCTCCTTTGTTCCGTGGAGAGTCACGTGGCGTTCGTTGGCATTCAGCGCGAGTGTTTGAAAGGCTTAAAGTCTTTGAGGTGACGTTACCCGAGGAAATAGTTCGGCAAAGTGCCGCTTCCTTTCCTGGGAGACGAACTCGGTACGCCATTTGAGGAAAAAACGAAACTTTTAGACGAACAAAAGAAAAGATCCATGGTCGGATCAGATCTCCGTGAGGAGATCCCGAGCGTTACATGTTTCTCTGAGAAGGTCAGAAAGTAAGAGGGAAGAGGTGGAGCCGGCGCGCTACATTTATAGAGAATGAGGAGTTGACGTCATTGTACAGAGCCCCTCCCCTCTCCGCCATGTTGGTAGGCACTGATGGGCAGTAACGCGTTAGAAGTAACGCGTTACTGTAATCCAATTACTTTTTTCTAGTAACGAGTAAAGTAAGGGATTACAATTGAAAAAACAGTAATTAGATTACTGTTACTTCCCCGTAAACAGCCTGCGTTACTGCGTTAGTTAACCGTGATTTTGTTTAGTCAGACTGGCTCGTGACATGAGTCGTGCGTGAATAACAATGATGTATGAGCGCCACGACATCATCAGAGACGACTAGAGCACGGGAGAGAGCAGCCGAGCTGCCAACTCTCACACACGCTCACACGACACACCCCTGATTTCTCGCGCTGAAGTGTCAATCCCGTCGGTCAAATGCCTGAAAGATGAGTTTATCTATAAATCTAACCGTTGAGCCACATTTGTGATTGACTAGTTATAGCGCATTAGTTCAAATCTCCCGGAATCTAGAGCGAGCGCGAGACTGTGTTCCAAAGTCCAAACTTCGTATTGCGCGCACGACGAGGAGAGCAAGAGAGACTTGCGTACTATGCAGAGAGCATCCTGATCTAGAAACTGGACCCCCGTTGGAGAATGCCAAAATTCTACCTCAAATCTGAGCAAGCATGTCACGAGACAGTCTCACGATTAACTAAAGCAGCAAGCCGGTACAGGAATGTGAAACTTACTGAAAAAAAACCCTGAACCCCCGTCTGACATGACCGCTGCGGCTACATGCTGATGGTACATAACCACTGTTTAACTCCGAAAGAAAAAAAACTTGAAGCCAAAATACGGCGTGCAAAATACGGCGTGCGTTACAAAACAGCATTTTCTGTTTTGATCAACTAATTTTTACTCCTCTCTGCACTTTACTGTTAAAAGACGTAAGTATTAATACTTTGTAATATTCAGGAGCGACTTTCATGATTTTATTGCTGTATTTTTACATCTATTCAAATGAAGGATTTTACAACATATATTTATTTTATATGCTGGAATATGTAGAAATGTATATTAACAGAAGAAGGGCCGTCTTTATTTCATTAAAATGGTGGAATGTGCAGAAAATAGGTTTAAATGTTCAACAATTTTCTTCTAGTCTGAGACTGTTGCATTTAATTTCATTTTTGCTTGATGCAATGTGCATAAAGTTAAAATATTGAAAGAAATAAAACAAGTTTAAAAAAAAGAGAATGTTTAATTCAATGGGTTGTGTTGAGTAGTGGCACAGTCCTTACAGTTGCTTAATATTATAATTTTATATAAATGACTTCATTTAAAAGAAAAGAATTTCAGCTTCATAAAGAGAGATCTTTCGTGTCTCTGTGACAAGTATTTAATGAGCTACAGCTCTTTTTTCGGACGAGTTTCAGAAAGATTTTTGCGGAGACCGAGTGAGCTGAAAGCGCACCCTGTTTGTTTTATTTATTTTACAAAAATATACAGTGCCCTCCACAATTATTGGCACCCCTGTTTAAGATGTGGTCGAGGACTTTTAAAAATTCTCCCTTTTTTTTAAACAACATAGAATCCAAATGCAAAAAAAGAGAAAAATCCAACCTTTTATTTAAGTACATTACTTTGGTGGTAAAAAAAAAATTAAAAATTTAAAAAAATAAAAACTTCAAATCATGTGTCCCACAATTATTGGCACCCCTGATGTTAATACTTTGTACAACCCCCTTTTGCCAACAAGACAGCACTTAATCTCCTCCTATAACATTTCACAAGATTGAAGAACACAGAGAGAGGGATCTTTGACCATTCTTCTTTGCAAAATCTTTCTAGATCATCCAGTATCCTGGGCCCTCTCTTGTGCACTCTCCTCTTTAGCTCACCCCACAGGTTTTCGATTGGATTGAGGTCTGGGGACTGAGATGGCCATGGGAGGACCTTGAGTTTGTGACTGAACCATTTTTGTGTAGATTTTGCCACACGTTTTGGATCATTATCCTGCTGAAAGACCCAATGACGACCCATCTTCAGCTTTCTGGCAGAGGCCATCAGGTTTTTATTTAATATGTCCTGGTAGTTCAAAGCGTTCATAATGCCATGCACCCTAACAAGGTTCCCAGGGCCTTTGGAAGAGAAACAGGCCCACAGCATCACAGATCCTCCACCATACTTCACGGTGGGCATGAGGTACTTTTCGGCATACACATCTTTTGTTTTACACCAGATCCACTTAGAGTGTTTGTTGCCAAAAAGCTCAATCTTAGTCTCATCCGACCAAAGCACACGATCCCAGATGAAGTCCCAGTGCCGCTTGGCAAACTCCAGACGTTTACGTTTATCAGTGTTAGTGAGAAAAGGCTTTTTCCTAGCATGCCTCCCAAACATCTTGTTGGCATGTAGAGAGCGTCTGATGGTTGTTTTGGAGATTTTGTGACCCCAAGATGCCACTATTTGATGCAATTCTGTGACAGTGAGCTTAGGACTTTTTTTTACTTTTCTTAGCATCCTCCTCACAGTGCGTTGTGGCAAGATAAACTTGGGACCTCTTTCAGCCTTGTTTGTCACTGTTCCTGTTGTTTTAAACTTCTTAATGATTCCTCTAACTTTAGATATGGGCAATATAAGGTGAGTGGCTATTTTCTTGTAGCCATTGCCTGACTTATAAAGGTCATCACACATCTGCCTTACTTGAATGGTGTGTTCTCTTGTCTTTGCCATGTTGACAAATGGGTAAGAGAATTAGGCCTCTGTGTCATGTCATATTTATACCCCAGGGAAATAGGAAGTCATGAATTACTAATTAAAAGTTCCTAGATATCCTGACCAACATTAGCAACTACAGAAAATATATATTTTTTTAAAAATCAATTACATTTTTCAGCGGAATTGTTAGGGGTGCCAATAATTGTGGGACACAGGATTTGAAGTTTTTATTTTTCTAAATTTTTACATTTTTTTTACCACCAAAGTAATGTACTTGAATAAAAGGTTGGATTTTTCTCTTTTTTTGCATTTGGGTTCTATGTTGTTTAAAAAAAAGGGAGAATTTTTAAAAGTCCTCAACCACATCTTAAACAGGGGTGCCAATAATTGTGGAGGGCACTGTATATATGCGTTTTTGGTCCTCTGGGGGTTAATAACTACCCCTCCCTCTTGCAACGATCTTCTCTGATGACATTTTTTCTGGCACGAGAGACCCACCAATAGCAAACCACAATGATTAAAGGGATACTCCACCGGGTTTTCATATTAAACTATGTTATTCCCTTAATTAAGACTGATGCATACCTCTCTCGTCTCAGTGCGTGCACTCTATCACTCTGTATTGCCGCAAAACTATGTTAGCACTTAGCTTACCCCAGTGAATTAAATATGGGCCAAAAACAGAAGCGACAAAACACTTCCTCGTTTTCCCTATTTAAACACAGTTACTCGATTAGTGTAACTCGACCTAGGCTGGTGACACAAAATAAAACGTGTTTTTCTAAGCGTTTAAAATTGATGACTATATTGTATGGCGGAATACCATAAAAAAGTGCTTTAGAGCACTTCAACTTGGCGCAATAATACCTTCACTCGTGAAAAGTCCTCTTACCGGCTCCCGCTTCCTCGCTCTCCCCCTCCCTCTTATTTCCGTCAATGCAGCCAACGTGACATGCGACAAAGCAGGAGCCGGTAAGAGGACTTTTCACGAGTGAAGGTATTATTGCGCCAAGTTGAAGTGCTCTAAAGCACTTTTTTATGGTATTCCGCAATACAATATAGTCATCAATTTTAAACGCTTAGAAAAACACAACGTTTTATTTTGTGTCACCAGCCTAGGTCGAGATGAAGTAACTGTGTTTGAGTAACTGTGTTTAAATAGGGAAAACGAGGAAGTGTTTTGTCACTTCTCTTTTTGGCCCATATTTAATGCACTGGGGTAAGCTAAGTGCTAACATAGTTTTGCGGTAATACAGAGCGATAGAGCGCACGCACTGAGACGAGAGAGGTATGCATCAGCTCGTCTTAGTTAAGGGAATAACATAGTTTAATATGAAAACCCGGTGGAGTATCCCTTTAACTGATTCAATCAATTCCCGATGGACTAAACAAGTCCCGCTTGTTTTCTTGTTGGAGAAGCCAATTCACTTTTAACTTCCGTTTCGTGCCAACTTTGAAATGTACTCCTTTCTTCCCTGTTTCAGTTACCAGAAAGCAGATCCCATCACTCTTCAGCATCTAACCACACAGATCACCATTTAAGAGACAGGAGTCGATCCCCGTTTCCTCACAAAGCAGACAGGGACAATCCTTCCTCTCGAGAGTCCGAGCGAAGACCTAAAACCAAAGCCCCCAGCCCACCGAGACACCGGGACCGCCATCAAAGACCGCAGTACACCAATTACAGCAAGTACGTCACTTCCTTGAGTTGCTGTATCATTAGTAGATTAAATGATTAAGAATGAATGTTTTGTTCATCTGTGTCAGTCACTCTGAACATGAGTTGAAACCTCTGGAATGATCACATTTGTTTCTTCAGCTGTAGACTTTTTGTCTGACAGTTGTAGACAGTTTTGTTTGCCACATAAAATGCATCTATATTTTTTTCCTACTCTCAGACGCCTCTCATCTGAAGAGTTGGAGAAGAAGAGAAGGGAAATGATGGATTTTGCCCGCGAAAGAGAAATTGAAAGGGAAAATAATGTACAGAGATACAAGCGACAAGAGGACCAGGAGAAAGCCAGAGACAGCGCCAAACTGGACCGTCACGCTGGCTTCATTCAGTTAGTATTTTCATTCCTGAAATCAAATCTGGTTACACTATATTTCAATAGTCACTTTAGACGTTCTACTAATTATAAGTAACTTTTCAACTACATGTTAACTAACTGTCATTAGAGTATTAGTATATTATCGTAGACTGTCAGGTTATGGTTAGGTGTTAGGCTTTGGGTTAGGAGAATAAGTTTACTTGTAGTCGCCTAGTTACTTAGTCAGTTGAATGTCTGTTGGGGGACCAACAAAATAAAGTGTTTAAGCTGGCATAAAGTGTTAAAGATATTAAGTGTTAAAGATATTAATAAAGTGTTAGAGATATTAAGCTGACAGTCTACTATAATGACAGTTAGTTGACATGTAGTTGAAAAGTTACTTATAGTTAGTAGATTGTCTAAAGTGGACTATCGAAATAAAGTGATTTCGATAAAATCTTAATACTGTTGCACAAATCTTAATACTCACAAATCTTAATACTGTTGCACCCAGTGGTTTTTTTTGTAGCAAACAGACTTGACTGAACAAGGTAGCCTGGTTGTAAAGTTCTGAATCATCATGGACAAGTGGATGGTTTATGTTAATTTGCACAGATTAAGTCAGGAATATGTTAATTCTGCTCCAGCATACATGCATATGGACAAAGCACTTTCAGCATTAAGAAATGATTTGGATAATAATGTCTTGCTCACTCATTAATTTGTGTCTATAATCTGTTAACAGTGACATGAAGCTAGAGAGTGCTGCCACGTCGTCTCTGGAGGACCGTGTGAAAAGAAACATTCACTCCATTCAGAGGACCCCTGCTGCTCTGGAGAAGAACTTCATGAGGAGATGAGGAGAACATAACTTTTGTATTTTACTGGTTTCAGATTGTTTTAAATTTGTCGTTTTTATAGAAGCTCATGCTTGTAAATAAAATGCAAAGAGCTTTGTACTTAACCAACATTCTCCAGTCATTAGCATCAGTAGGCACAGGCACAGAGACACACAAGTTAGACAATGAAACTGAAACACCTGGATTTAGACCACAATAATTTATTATTATGGTGTCGGGTCTCCTTTTGTGGCCAATACAGAATCAGTTCATCTAAGGAATGACAGTTCCTAACAGTGGCCAGAGGAATTTTGAGCTTTTCCTGTTGTATGTTGTAATTAACTTGATTCAGCCACATACATTTATATATTTGTTAATGTAATTTAGCTCTTTAATTTCATAATTGGTTTCTTTTTTTTTTTTTGGTGGAGGCTTTAAATAAGACCTTTTATGTTTGTTTTACCCTCTCCCTGCCCAGCATATGGGTTGTACTTTTTGTTTTTATTGTATATATTTTATATTTGTGCAAATAAACTAATGGAAAAAAGCGGCCCTTTGCAGAACATTGGCCAGGTCACTACGTGATGCTGGTGGAGGAAAACATCAAACCTGTCTTACTGTGTGTTTTATTGGTGTATTATTTTAATAAATGGCACAACTTACTGGCATTGATGCACCACTCTATCACAAATAGTGGGCCAAGGGAATGCCATGATATTACAACCCAAACCATCACTGGTCCATCTCTGAGATTCACTAACACTCTTGGTGATCTGAGGCTTCTCCACACTGACAATTACAAGAGAAGGTAGACTCCTGTTCCCATTGTCCACAGCCCAATATTTCTACTGCTGGCACCATTTGACCAAAGCATTTGCAGCTTGACCATGAATACTCGACCATGAATACATGAATATAGTCTACCTTCTCTTGTAACTGTCAGTGTGGAGACATCTTTTCAGACAACTTCCTTTTAAATATACAATTACCCCTGTTGGATGTGGTTTGTCCTTTGTGGTGTGTGTGTGTGTGTGTGTATTGTTGGAGAACTTGGATTGTCTCTGTAACATCTAATATATATAAACCCAGCAGCAAACAAAATATCTCAGGCCAGCATTTTTTATGCTGTATTCAGTTTATTGCAAGCAGTCAATGCTTCAGAGCAAGATAATACTGAGATTAAGGAACACTCTTCACAGATAATGGCTACAATTACTCAGACTCACTCCTGTCAAAGACAGTGAATGTCATACGACGAGTGTGGATTCAGGAAAGAGAACGAGCATGTGATCGGCAGAGTGTCGATAGCGGCAGGTGTCTCAGGTTTGAACCCGTTGGTCTGCCTGTGGTTAGCATGCTGTTCTGGATTTCCAGAAGTAGTTCTTGCAGCCCGGCTTTCGCTCTTTTTCTCCATTGTCTCTCCTCATTAGGTCCAGTCCACTCTGTAGTAATCCCAGAGATGGGCTGTCAGACTGGATGGCTGCTAGGTCTGGGTTACTGAGCAACCACTGGAGCTCTGGAAGGGAGTATCTCTCTGGCATCTGAAGAATTAAAGCATTTTTTCAGGTTGCAATACTTTTATTATGCCTTAAAACAAAGATATGTGCTTCCAAGATGTGTTACTTTCTATTCAAATGCGTTGAGGTTCTGAGTGTGACCTTCAAAGCTTACCTCTTCATCAGCTGAAGTGCCATGAGATGCCTGAAGCGCAGAGTTCAAGACCATGTGAGATCGACCGCCTGATATGATGCCTGCTGTCATGGCCAAACAGAGCAGGGAGAAACTGAGGTGAAGTTGGGAGGAGGTCATCGCTGCTGTCTTGAAGGATGTGGCTTGTTCAACCTTGGTTCAAGCCTCTGTTGCACTGTGCTCCCTTATTGTGTTCCTTGCTTGTCTGGACTGTATTTTATACTGGTGCCTCCTCCCATACAGAGTCAAAATTAGTTACGCTCTTAAAAGTTTTACAATTTAAATATTAACAAATTAAATTATTGGTCTTAGCTGGTTTCTTCAGGTCAGATGTAACTTCAATTACTGGTACATTTTGTTTTCCATCTTTGTTAACTAGTTTTTTCCTGCTGTCTAAACAGAGTGCATCCAACTGAAGCAAGACCCCCAATAAACCACTTAGCCCCCATCACATTGATCTGTTGCTAGAGTGACCTCCCTACCAAAGTGTCGGGGTCATAAATTCTTGTTGGCTATCAAGGCAAATGGATGTTACTAGGAAACGGGTCAAAGATCTCTGTTTTTTTTTTTTTTAAATCAGGTTTTTATTTCCTACATCTGGGAAAAATAAATTCCAATAAAACATTATTTTTTTCAAATTACCATTTTCTGCTTGTGTTTACTGTATATATATATATATATATATATATATAAATATATGGTTTCACTTTATTTTGATGGTCCCTTTAACACATTCTGTTATTACACCTATTATAAGTAACATTAGACTTACAAGCCAACTAATGAGAGTGTTATTAGAGTATTAGTAGACTGCTAGGTTTCGGGTATATATATATATACACACACACACACTCAGCAAACAAAGAAACCTCTCACATTCAGCTGCTTTTAGAAAAATTTAAACGTGTAAATATTTGTATGACCATAAAAATATTCAACAACTGAGCCATAAACTTAACAAATTTAGAAGACATTTGACAACAAGAGTATGAGGAACGAAGACCACTTTAAGTGACTCTCACTAAAGTCACAGGCTTCCAATATTGGGAATATTGCTGCTTTGATTTAAAAGGATTTTAGCATCGTAAGGGGAATGAAACCGCATACTTATTTTCACAGCTGCTACAGTTAGCCATAAAGCCACGACAGGGTGTTTTGCATTCTTTTTTATTAATATAACAATAGGATTATATAGCTGTTATTTTCCTTGAAAAAAGTATTAGTGACAAAGTCAAACAAAGTCTTTCCATTGTGAAAAAAGTTAAAAAGTGCACTAAAGTTAACTAAGTTAAGCTAAAATGAACCTTTCAAATATACACATTGAACTTTAAAATACATTTTAAATCATGTTTTAATACTAAAACTGCAACACCAAAAAGTTGAGACATGGCAAAATAAAAGTTAAATTTTGAACTGTTTAGAAACAGCCCACAATACGCTGATTCTCACACATCGAAAGCGAGGCTCCAGTGGGAAGAACCCTGGAAGTACAGATGTCACGGGGGAGGCCGGACGCCGGATGACCGGCCGTCCCAACCCCCGACACACGTACCACCGCGAGGAGCCAACACCACAGAGGACACGGAGGCAAAGTAAGTTAGAGAAAATTCAGAATCTTTATTAAATAAATTAAACTAAAACAGCCTTCGACAAGCTGAAGCAAAACTCGGGTGGGCAGAGCAGGTGAGGATTCACAGCTGGACTAGTTCTCGAATTCACAGAAGAACAACTTCTCTTCTCCCGGGATTCGGATGGACGGAGAGTAGTACGGAATCCACAGCAAAGCTGGCCCTCTTCTCCGGACCCAGGCAGACAGAAGACAGGTGAGGATTCAATAGTAGAACTAGTTCTCTCAGATTCCCAGCAGAACGGTTTCTCTCCTCACAGGGCTCGGATGGGCGGAGGGGAACACGGAATCCACAACAAAGCTGGCTCTCTTTCCAGGGCTCAGGCCGACAGATGACAGGTGAGGATTCAACAGTATAGCTGGCTCTACTCACAGAATCCGGATAGACGGGGGAGAGTAAAGATTCATTAACAGGCTGGCTTTCTTCTCAGGGCTCAGACAGGCGGAAAGTCAAGATGACAACTTCACAGTATAACTGGCTCTCTTCACAGGGCTCGGGCAGACAGAGAATAACAGTGAGGGTTCAACAGTATAACTGGCTCTACTCACAGAATCCAGATGAACAGAGAGGAATAAGGGTTCAACAGCAAAGCTGGCTCTCTTCACAGGGCTCGAGCAGACAGAGAGAATTATGATGACGATTCCACAGTACGACTGGCTCTCTTCACAGGGCTCAGGCAGACAGAGAATAACGGTGAGGGTTCACGGTATAACTGGCTCTACTCACAGAATCCAGATGAACAGAGAGGAATAAGGGTTCAACAGCAAAGCTGGCTCTCTTCACAGGACTCGGGCAGACAGAGAATAACGGTGAGGGTTCACGGTATAACTGGCTCTACTCACGGAATCCAGATGAACAGAGAGGAATAAGGGTTCAACAGCAAAGCTGGCTCTCTTCACAGGGCTCAGGCAGACAGAGAATACAGGTGAGAATTCAACAGTGTAGCTGGCTCTACTCACAGGATCAAGCAGCACATGGAGGAGTAAGGATTCAACAGCGAAGCTGGCTCTCTTCACAGGGCTCAGGCAGACAGAGAGGATTATGATGACGATTCCACAGTACAACTGGCTCTCTTCACAGGGCTCAGGCAGACAGAGAATAACGGTGCGGGTTCAACAGTATAACTGGCTCTACTCACAGAATCCAGATGAACAGAGAGGAATAGGGGTTCATCAGCAAAGCTGGCTCTCTTCACGGGGCTCAGGCAGACAGAGAATACAGGTGAGAATTCAACAGTGTAGCTGGTTCTACTCACAGGATCCAGATGAACAGAGAGGAATAAGTGTTCAACAGCAAAGCTGGCTCTCTTCACGGGGCTCAGGCAGACAGAGAATACAGGTGAGAATTCAACAGTGTAGCTGGTTCTACTCACAGGATCAAGCAGCACATGGAGGAGTAAGGATTCAACAGCGAAGCTGGCTCTCTTCACAGGGCTCAGGCAGACAGAGGGTACATGTGATAATTCAACAGTGTAACTGGTTCTACTCACAGGATCCAGATGAACAGAGAGGAATAAGTGTTCAACAGCAAAGCTGGCTCTCTTCACGGGGCTCAGGCAGACAGAGAATACAGGTGAGAATTCAACAGTGTGGCTGGTTCTACTCACAGGATCAAGCAGCACATGGAGGAGTAAGGATTCAACAGCGAAGCTGGCTCTCTTCACAGGGCTCAGGCAGACAGAGAGTACATGTGATAATTCAACAGTGTAACTGGTTCTACTCACAGGATCCAGATGAACAGAGAGGAATAAGTGTTCAACAGCAAAGCTGGCTCTCTTCACAGGGCTCAGGCAGACAGAGAGGATTATGATGACGATTCCACAGTACAACTGGCTCTCTTCACAGGGCTCAGGCAGACAGAGAATAACGATGCGGGTTCAACAGTGTAACTGGCTCTACTCACAGAATCCAGATGAACAGAGAGGAATAAGGGTTCAACAGCAAAGCTGGCTCTCTTCACGGGGCTCAGGCAGACAGAGAATACAGGTGAGAATTCAACAGTGTAGCTGGTTCTACTCACAGGATCAAGCAGCACATGGAGGAGTGCGGATTCAACAGCAAGCTGAACTTCACAATCCTACGTAGAGATTTAAGAGGAGAAGAGAAGAATTTCACCACTAGATGACTTCCTCCATCCAACGAGATGCGGGCGATATATCCACAGCCAGAACCGTTTCCCCGATGTCACTGCATTACACTTCCACTCGTGTTTAACTGTAATTCACACAAATCGGCACACGTGATTTAATGAACAACACTGCAAAGTCTTGTCACTCACAAACTAGGGCGTAG